TCTTTCACAGGGATTTGAGGACAATGGATGAAAGCGAAATTCTTGAAAATATGGAGGACCAAGGCGTAGTGGACATGAACTGCACGACCAAGAAAGACGAGAATGTGAGAACTAAAACCGGATTGTGTTTTTTGACTTTTGCCTTTAATAAAATCCCAGACTACATCTTTGTAGGATACAAACTTGTACAAGTAATACCCAAAGTAAAAAACTATGCGCTGTAATAGATACCAAAAATCTGGACACACCTCATTATGATGCAATGTTAAGGACACATAAATTTACTTGTGGAAATGTGCTGGAACTCATGATACTACAGAATGTACTGAAACCACTCCTAAGTGTACTACTTGTGGAGGTTCCCATCATTCTGGCTCTGCTGAATGCAGCAGCTTGAAGGAGACTGAACTATTAGCATACACGAGAGGTCATGATGCTAGTTACCGTGAAGCCAAGAGGAAAGTGGAAGGTTTGACCAGCAAAGCCAATACTTCCTACACTTCAACAGCAACAAACAACACTCCCAGCACAAGCAGTGTCAGCCAGGAGCTTGCGGCTAAGGATAAGGAAACTGCTGATTTGAAGAAGAGAGTTAAAGAGCCAATGGATGACAGTAAAGAATTGACCAGTACAATTAAATAAATTGCTGAATCAAACCAGCAAAAGAAGCAACGTAAGGAGGATGATACCAATCGCAATCTGGATCACACCTTCTCGTCCCGGCGGCTCCTGTTAGGACTTTCCCCGTTTTTTGTCTGCTTGTAACGAGTCATCTTCAACCGGGTGTCTCCCTGGCAGCGAGACGCAGGACATGGAGGCTATTGTCTCCAAAAATACCCATGGATGGCCCTTGAGCAGCGAAGGAGAGGAGGAAGGGCCTTCCTCCTAGAAAAAGAAAATTAAAACCGGCGGACAAGGCACTTCCAAACAGTGTTAGAACTAAAGTAAATGACCTTAAACTATTAGCCTCGTCTTATGCTCCCGATGTTATTGTTGTCTAAGAGACAAATTTAACAAACCTTTTCTCAGATGCCGTGATTATGTTGAGGAACTACCATCTGTGTCGGAGGATCGAGAGGGTAGGGGCGAGGCGGAATTGCCATGTACATCCCTTTTACAGAAGTGACTGCTTTGGAATTTTTGCATGCGAAGTAAAAGTCAATAGCACGTATCTGGCTACATGTTCAGTTTATTGTCCATCTGTTATTGTGGAAATATATGATGAAACTACCACAAAATAAATGATTTTTAGGTGATTTTAAAGCTCATCATACATTACGGGGTTCCCTGCGGGTGGATGGTAGAGGTGAGCAGATAAACTTGTTAATGATTCAGATTTAATCCTTCTGAACGATGGTAGTCCGACGCGGGTGGACGATAATAGCGGTATTTTGAGCTTCATTGATCTATCTCTGGTCTCTTCAACAGCAGCAGCCAAGTGCCTGTGGCACACCACCGACGACTCGTAGGGAAACGACCATTTTCCTATTTGCATTAAATATTCAAGCGACACAACGAGAACGCCTTCAGCTCCTCAGTGTAACGTCAAAAGAGCAGACTGGGCCGCCTTCTCCAGGAGCGCCAAACTCGAACTCGTTGGAAAAACCTTTGATGATAAAGTAAACAATGTTTAAAATTGTATATTAGATGCAGTGATAATATCCATTCCTAAGACTTTCACAGATAGTGTTAAGCATAGGGTTCCAGGGTGGACACCAGACTGGCACTGGGCACTGTTTGAACGCAATAGGGCCTACAGGCTTTTCAAAACTAACATCACCAATGAGAACTTTTGCAGTTATAAACTAGCAAGAGCTAGTAGAACAATTAGACAAAAAAAAAGACCTGGCGGAGCTTTGTCTCTACAGTCAATAGCATACCAAAATATCACAGGTTTGGTCCACTATCAGTAAAATTGATAAGAAAAAATTTATAAGAAATCTAGATTCGCCTACAAACATTGCCAATGCGCTCGCCAAGCAGTTCTCGTATACAAGCAGCTCAGACCATTTTCATCCTGCATTCCTGACCACCAAGGAAGCTGAGCTGCAACCCATACACTTTGCCACAGGAGTTGACTTTGATTATAATAAAGATCTAACAATGGATGAGCTTGATGGAGCCCTGGAAGCCTGTAAAGGAACGTCCCCAGGCCCTAATGAGATTCGACATGAGATGATAAAGCATCTTAATCATGATGTCATGATTAAGTTGCTAAAAGTGCACAATGAAATTTAGAAAAGACAGTTTTCCAAACCCATGGCACTTCGCACACCTTCCCATATTGAAAGGTGGAGGAAGTTCCAAATCTACTTGACGAGCAATGCGGCTTTCGGAAAGGATGCCAAACTCTAGTAAAACTGGACAGTCACATTAAAGAGTCAATTGCCCAAAAGCACTTTTTGATTTCATTATTTTTAGACAGAAAAAGCCTACTGCATGACATGGCGATATGGCCTACTTAGGAAACTTTATGCTTTTGGATTACGTGGAAACTTGC